TTTTCCATCTCTCCCCATATATCTAAATAATTTGGAAAGTGAAAATCTCACTAAAATATGTTGGAAAATTTTTAAGTTTTCATCTGAAATCAAGAAAATAAAAACTTTAAGCAAAATGGTCACAATCAGGGGTGTGGAGTCCGAGTTTGAAGCAATTGAGGGGTCACTGGAGTCAGAGTCAGTATAGTTTTGCTGGCTCTGTCTCCAGGTGAATTTACACTTTAAAGGTTTACGTTATAGAATCTTTATTGTTATTTCTTCTACTGTATATTTACTATTTCCTTTAAAGAAATTCATCTCTTTTTTTAAAGTCATTTTATTTTTTGTAGTTATTTTGTATTTGCAAAACTATATATGTAAAATAATCTTACACTATAGTATTTTATTTTTGTTATATTTTACAAGATGTAAAAAAACATTTCAACTTCTGTTATAAAATAGTTTTATTTTTGTTCTGTACTTATTTCTTATTTGCAAAGATATATATAAGTCTTACATTATAGCATTTTTATTTTTTCTATATCCTTTCAAAGATTTTGTCTAATTCTGTTAGAAAATATTGAAGAATGAATAAGATATAAAAGCCACAATATCTTTATTCTTTGATATAAACCAGTTATACTGATATAGGCCTACTCAAGTTATGAGCATATATATATAGGCTTTATGACATTTGTATGCCATAATCACTCAATTACATTAAGAGGAGTTGGAGGTGACAAAAATAGAGGTGTCAGAGGTTTTGTGTTCCAACTCCACAGCCCTGGTCACAATATATAGAAAACAAAAATGGTGTCATTTTAAACTAATACCAGAATATGGGTTAATGGTCATGAACATCAAAAATCTAAATTGATTACTGATTTTTCAAAATTACTAATTAATAGAAAAGCAAAAGTTTTCAAATATTTAAGTGCAAAATGAATTAGTGCATCCACTGTCAAAGCGAAATAAATTATCTTAAATACAAATAAAATATCACTAAAAATATTAATAATGATGAAGCACACACAAACTTTTAAACTAAGTTAAGAAATAAAAACTTTAAATACATTTTCCAAACAGCTGAGCATTTTAAGATTTAAATTAAATATCTAAATGCAATAACAAAATTGATAAAGTCTGCTTATTTAATTTGTGGCAATCAAATTAAAGCTTTTGAAAAGTAAACAAACAAGTCACTTGATTTGCTTTTTTAATAGATTTTATTAACGGTAAAATAATTACAGGCAACTGTTACCCTGACTGGGGCTGCCAGAGCTTATCAACAGCAGCATAATACAAAGTAAACAAGTCAGTAAAATAAATAAGGAAAAAAAAAAGGAGAGAGGATGTAGCATCCTTTACTGGCCACTAACATTTCTATAGTAAATATTTGTAAATTAAAAAAGTAATATTGTTTAAAAACAAAATACAAGATAAATATTCTTTCAATGGTGCAAAATTTGTATGAGTATTTTTTTCTGTAGAATGTTAGAGTAGATGATCATAAATGACCAATGACAAGATTAAAAAGTGCACTTTTTGTCACAAGGCTTACTAAGTTCGTCTATCATTGAATAACTTGTGTAAACTGGCATACTGACAGATAACAGGCTGGACTGTGTGGAGTTTTAACACTATAGACAAAAGTTAAAGTTAAGGAAAAAATTTTTTCTTTAATAGTTCAAAATAAATCTTTAAAGAAAAAAAATTCCATGAAAAAAAAAAAAAAAAAAAAAATCTCCCCTAACTGATGTTCTTTATTCAATGAAAATTTTAGAATTGATTCCAGGCTGTCAGATTTTAAGATACTAAATGCATGTTATTCTTTAAACATAATACTTCTTATATAAAGTTGAATCTTCCTATGTTTACATTATAATAGATAGAAGTTTTAAAGAATAAAGAAAAAAAATTTTTTTCTACTTCAACCAGTTACTCAAGTTATGCCTTGATCAAACCTTAGTTCAAGTAAGATATGATCTAGAAAAGTAAAATTACAAAGTACCATGGAAAATGTAGTGGAATAAGGATACCAATAAACAGTTTACTATAACAATGTACTTTTACCAAGAAAAAAAATGTAAAATATTAAGCTGTATAATGAAGAATACAAAATGTTAATAAGAGATTAAAATAAATTAACCTTATTTAAGATAGAGATTCAATTTGTAAACATAAAGACAAGTGATTGGATATCAAGAGGCAGGTTTGGTTAATACAAAGACCTTCTTGGAGTGTTGACTTTTTAAAAAGAAAGCTGTCTGAATTTGAAAATTTTCACTTAGAGGAAAAAAAATTGACAGGATAATTAAAAAAAAAATGTGTTAATCTTATTAGTAAAGATATTAAAATAACTGATTCATATAAAATGTAATGAGTTTGAGTATAAATATAAAATAAATAAGATTTATGTTGATGAAAAAAATGGCTGAGAATGCTAGTCCAATAAAAAAAAAAAAAAAAATATCAGTGTGTATTAGTGATACTCCATCTTAAAAATAGAGTATGAAAAATGTTTATTTGGCTCAGTGTAGTTAATACAATTACTAATACTAATCTTTGGAAGAGAAAAAAAAAAAACAATTGAGTGAATATAAACCATTTTTTATTTACTTTCAAAAGCAAAAAACCAACTGACAAAATAACAAAACTTTACAAATCAAATGGAGTCAAGAACTTGATGTAGCCTGAAATATGAAAAAGTATTACTTGCCAGCAAGAAATGAACCAACAGAGGCTGACATGAACAAAGCTGCTAGAGAAGGCCAGCCCCAGCAATACAATTCACCCCAGCTCAAGGCTTATCAATCAAGTATTACTGTAATACATTTCACTTATTTTTATGTTGGGAGTTGTAATACAGAGATGGAAAACAAAGACAAAAATCATATTTGCTGAGGTTTGTCCAACAAAAGTTTTATTTTTATTTATTGATTTTCTTCTTAATACACACACACAAATAGGAAAATTAAAAGACAAATTGTGGGACAGAGAGCTCCCACAACCATGCTGATGGACGGAGAAAGAGAAAGACAAAGTGTGATAGAATCACAAAAAAAAAAAAAAAAAAAAAAAAAAAAAAAAAAAAGAAGACTTTTGGCACAAAGTGTTGACAGATTCAAGTATATATGATATTATCCTCTTTATTTTTTCAATTGCTAAGTGAATATGAAAAGAGAAAACTGATCTACAGCTTTAACCCTGAATAGAAACTAGAAAAGAAAAACAGCTTAGTAATCCAATACTGGAGAATTTTCGAAATGAAAATAGAAGAGAAGCTTAACTACAATAGGAAAAAATAATTAGTTATAACCAGATGTTATACAAATAGTAAGAATAGCAGGTAGTGAAAACTACTTTTATCAATGATAAATTCAACCATTTTTCTCAATTTATTATTAATTGTTCACTTAGGTTTGAAATCCATCAAATGTAACTCTTGTCTTTCAAAGAAACAACTACAAATTAAGCTGCAATTTACTTTAATGAAGAGTGCTATATGATTGATAATTCAGTGAAATATAAACAAAAAAGAAAGAAAATCAGTACCAACAACAATAAAAAAAACAAACATTTTGTAAGCATTCTATTACTACATAACTTTCACACCTGTATTGTGATATAATTTTTAGTTGTACTAAATTTAATTAAAAAAAATAAAAAATCAACACTTATGTAAAAAATTGTTAGGAAGAATTTTAAATACTGGTAAAAATGAAAAATACAATTTCTTTAAATTAGATGTCAAAATACTTCTTTTATAAGAGAGAATAGTATACTGTGTTTGGCCTTGAGCTTTATTTTTTCAAGTATTTATCAGCCATGAACCAGGTTTTTTTGTTTTTGGTTTTTTTTAATTTAGCTGCATTAATCTGACAAATTTTAAAGCATTTGTTAAGACTTAAATTAAAGCTAGGATTTTAATCTGAAAAATAATTCAGAATGGACAAAATATTTGTAAAAATATTTTTAACTGCTTGAAAACATTTGAGTAATTCACGTTTTTTAATTTTTGAAAACAGTAGACAAACATGTTAAAAAAATCTAAGCAACCCTCTGACCAGCAGGGATGGAATGATCTATCAAGTTGATCTATTTAAACCGGAACAAATAAGAAACATTTCAATCTTACAAAGACAGCAAGACACTATCAATGTATGAATTTGTATTATACTCTTTAAAAAAAAAAAAAAAAAAGAAAAAAGAAAAGTCATTCTCTAGCAATGTCAAAATGCATAAACAAATTTCTAATGAGTAATCAGTAAAGAAAGCCATATGCAAAACATGGCATATTAAATGGCAAGAACATTAATTTACTGCAAATTAGATGTTTGTTGTATCTTAGCAGGTAGGAAAGATAAAGTTATTAATAACAAAACAATTTAAATGGAAGCAAATAAAAAAAAATTAAAATTAAAAATGCAGCCTTGTTAAATGGAATTTTAGATGCATTTTGAGTTTTTCACCAGCAGCAACAATGTCGTACAATCGATTTAGTTTAAACAAAAATCAGAGAAAGAAAGCAAAACACTATGCCATTAAGAGATCAGCAAAGTATAAAGTATTATAGCAAAAAAAAAAAAAAATAAAAAATAAATAAATAAAATAAAATAAATAAAAAAATAAAATAAATAAATAGAAATTATGAAAATTTAAATTGGTATCTGCAGATAGAGCCAAAGAATGTATGTTTTTTCTAGTTATAATACTTTAAAGATAATCATACATTTACAGCTTATAGTAAAAAAAAAAAATATCATGTAGAATAATCAGTAGATTATTTCTGATTGTTATTTTGTCCATTTTGTTGTAGTATTTTAATCATCACTGACCATATGAATACACATTTGTTAATGTTAGTTCACATTCTTAGGCCACTGTTAAAAATTACCAATAAAACATGGTCATCAACAGTAATAGAAAACAAACATTAGTTGTCAAAAGCTTTATCTAGAAGTGGTCAGTAGGAAGAGACAATTGGCACAAGTTGAGCATTGATAAGGCCACAGAATTTACTATGTGTAGAAGATAATCTCTGGGATTTGGCCATCCTCTACAGATGTTCCATTGTTATTGCCAGTAGCATAAGTAAATTGAAAAGTTACTTTGCCACTGGCGACGGATTCATGGGTGACTTTACGCAAACCTCTGGAGCCATAATAAGAGTCAGGACCCTGGAAAAAAAAAAAAAAGGCAATATGTTAGAAGAAAAATACATTAATAAAAATTAACATAATATTAAAATAAAAAGAAAGAAATTAAATAATTTACTTTGGATAGATCAATTATTCAAGAATTGATCTCCTCTGAAGTTAATGTAAAAAAAAACCAAAAAACATTATTTGTGTCACTTTTAACACATCTATACAGATTAAGTGAAGAAAAAAGTTCTGATTTACAACACACAATCTGATATAGCGTTATATACTGTACCTATGAACACTAGCGAGTGTGTCTCAATCCTCATAAATACGTTGGATGCTATTGTAAGTGGGGGTAATATTCTGTCTAAGTAGTCCACCACTAGCAGTGGTTTACCTACTTCATACTGCTGGCAAGTATTGTATTTTGTTGATGTTATAAAAGATTACCATTTCATTTCCAACCTCCGTTTTGGTTATTCCTCATTCAATAACCTTTTCTAGGTTACAACATAGAACAAATATGATCAATATTAAAAGAATTAAGTGTAGAAAAAGTTTTAAATTACAAAAAATATATATTGGAGGTTTTACTCAATTTGAAATATGAAGGAGTGTTGGAATGTTCTTGGCCCAACCAAGAAGGGATTCCAAAACAAATTTTGATGTTTTGTCAGATTCGGGAGGAGGATGTATGTTTCTGATATTATGACTTCTAAAATTGCATTTTCTTTTTTTTTTTAATTTTATGTTTCTTGAAAAATTATTGTAATGTTTATCAAACTAAAATTTTTCAGCCTCTAAAATCTAATTTAAACCTAGCATTACAATAAATACTTTTAAAATATCAGAAGCACTGAGATGATCTCCCTTAGACTACCCTTCTTTAATAATTGCTATTTTTGTTTCAATGCTTTTTTGTTTTTATTGCTCTAGTACAAAGTATCATAGTCTATGGATCTGTATTCATTCAACATGAATTCCACTGTCACAATATTCAAAACATGCCACTCAATCTCCTAACAATAAACCACCAGCTTATTAAAAAATAAGTTGAATAATGTCCCTTGTTTCCCAAATAACCTTTACAATGAATATAAACCCCCCAAAACAGAATCACTTTAAATCATTTTTAATATCCTATCATCTACAGTGGCTATTTTAACAATCCTCTGTAAATCAATCTTGGGGAAAATGTAATCCTATTTCATTTTTCTATCATTCTCACCTCATAAATTCTATAGAATCAAAAGAAAATCTTGAGCAAACATCTCATATTTTAAATAAAAAGGAAAAGCATGGCCAATGTGAATAATTTTCTCAAGTTAAACTATCTTCTAATATCAGTTTAATGCAAATATATATATATATATATATTCAATGTCAGAATGTTCCTGATTAAAACCCTCAGATCACCATTCACAGTAAATTTTAACTCTTGAAAACTCACAAATCCTCCCAATCTTTAATTTTTCTCTCACTCACTCTGATACACACATCCATTACTGTTATTAAGTTTTTCAATGCTTTCCCTCTCAAGTTGTTTTATAAATTGTATTGATACAATTGAGCATAAGTTTTACTTCGATCTTCTCAATTATTCTTATTACAAGCTAGGCAAAAAGAAAAGAACAAAAGAAGCAACTTTTATTGTATCTCTCCATTCAAGTATATAAGTATATGAGAATATGCAATGGGCGTGATTGTACAGAAAAATATTGTTATTCTTCTCGCTATATATATATATATATATATACACACACACACACAGAGACTCTTATATATGTCTGTTACAATTTCCATGGAAGTAAATGGAAAGCATTACTTTACGGTGTGCTATGAAATTGGAATTACCTCCCTTGTAATTTTAACGAACCAAACATATTCCAGAACAGCACAAACTGTACTTTATGAAAAGTCAATAGTGGAAAAAAAAAAAAAAAATAATAAAAAAAAAAATTGTCTACATTTTTCACCGATTTTACAAAATGAAATATTCTGGGATTTTTTTCTTTAGAGCCTCGAATAAACATAAAATGTGGCTGAAAAAACAGATCAATGATTAGATGTAAGAATCAGATGTTTCTATTAAGAGCTGATTCATATTTTATCACAAAGCTAAAAGTTTCAGATATAAATATGTAAAGGATTTTTTTTGAAATAGTGGTTGTTGATAGCTGTCATCGGTCAACAGGCATCTTTATTACAGATATCATGATTTTAAACAAAAAAAACAAGAATCATTTGTAAGATTGACAGTCCAACTGCAAAGAAAATATCTCAGAATATAATTCTGCCTTTGTCAAATCCGGTAGAATATTACTTATAATATTTAAAATTAATCTAATATGAATTACTTTTCCACCATCAACACTACTTTACAACTCTAACACTGGAGATGTGTAATCAAAAATAATGCTATTTTCTCTAAATAGTATCAGAAAATACTTTTTTTGGTATATAGTTAAAATATTATAAATTGATTGAATGAAACAAAAGTATTTTTATAGACATTTATTTCAAAGCTATTTAACTTTATTTCATTTCTTAATATATTAAGAAAAAAATAATCAAGAAAACTGTAATTATAGTCTATCAATCATATTATCTAACATGCCTTCATTTTTCATAAACTTTGATGGTAATCCAAACCAAGCATTGTTTTTTTTTTGGGGGGGGAGGGCTTAAACAGATATTTATTTTTTTACAAGAAAAAAAAACAAAAAAAAAAAAACAAGAGTACTATAAACAATAATGATGACATTTCAATTTAGGTTTTATTGAACAAAGACACCTAACTGAAAGAATATGTCATGATACTGATTTTTAAATACTATGTAATTATAGTATTTTAGTACTTTATCATTTTATTTTGATAATTTTTTTTTGTCACCAGTCTCATAAACTGATATAGTCATGGGAGTGCTGTGTAAAATATCAAGTAGGAATAACCTGGCAGAACCTATTCCTCTCCAGACATGTACATGACAAAAAATTAAATACTTGAAAACTAATAGCAGAGAATTTTGAAAACTAATTTAAAATATGTTTCATTGCAAAATCTTTACCATTTAATAGCCTAAAATCAAATCAAAGTGCAGATATTTGCCAATTTATTTTATGACTGATCAATAGATTTTAAATTATTAAAATTAAAAAAAAAAAAAAAAAGGCCTAGTTAATTTTTTCTTTGTAAAATGCACAAAGGAAACTCCTCCAGTATTGAAAATACCTTAAGTGTTGCACAAGCAGTAAAACTGGTATTGGGTAAAATCTCCACAGGTTTTTTGAACATAACTCTGAATGTGGAGGTGGAACCATCACACTGAAAGCTAGTATCATTTTGGCCAAGGATTCTGCCAGTGTCAGAATGAAGAAGCTGTATAAAAAAAAAAAAAAAAAAAAAGTTTAGAAAATATGTAAACACAATTTGTTTGATTATCTATTACAAGATATATATATATATATATATATATATATGAATTTAAAATGTATGAACACAAAACATTAAAATATACATTGTTAGTTTTAACAAGCTAAATCTAAAATACTACAAGAACAGATTCAATGAAAACTAGAATAGTACAATTTTTTGTACTTATGTTGAATAGATTTCCTTTCCCATTTGACACCTTTCAAACATTCTGATTTTCAAAATGTACCAGGTTTACTATTCTATGAATATATTGGTAAAATCTTAACAAAACATGTCCAATTTGTTTTGGTTTATCAACAAAATATCAAACTTTGGTAAGCAAATTAAACTTACATTTGTAATTAGTCTAAACACATACATTAAATACAATTTCTATTTAAAAATTTTGATTTAAAAAGTTTAAAGGGATTTTAATTGGAAGAGGGATTGATTTTTATTAAACCTTGCCTAAACCAACATTTGTAGTCAGTCAAGCTTTAGCTGAAGTATTATTACGTAATTCAGTACTGCATATAAAGAAAGAAATTTTGAACATAAGACAAAATGACAGGTGAGATGCCTACCTCGATGTTGACAAAATATTCTGTTGGTCCATGGATGCTGCCATAAAGTCCAAATCCAACTACAAAGATTCTTCTGTTCACCATAAATCTGAAAAATATAACCAAGTGTTATGAACAATAAACTTTAAAGAGACACACAATGATACAGAGAAAATAATGATATTTGTTCCAAAAGATTAAGAAAAATTCTATGTCGTCAAATAGTATATACTTGCTACTATTTATTGCAGTCAACACATGAGGAAGAGATAAGGCAATCAGTATCAACGGGGTTTCACTATCAAATGACCCACAAATGATTATGGGAATCCTTAGTGAACCAGTGATTTTTTTTTTTTTTACCAGTTAACGACAAAATGAGACGATGCTAAAAAGTTCTTGGCCTGACCAATAAGCTCTTCCAGTTGATTAGATTTTTGAAAGTGGGTCAGGTCAGAACTTTTCAGCACCCTTTTACAGATAAGATAGAGAAATGTATTTTTACCTAAAACTTTGTAGGTTTTAAGTACATATTACTAACCTTGTCTGCAATTTGATCATGATGTAAAACTTCAATCAACATTGTAACTTTAAGAGAAAGTTATCAAAAGTTCTTGAATTTTAAAACAAAGATATTGGTGCATTCATGAGCAAAATTTAAAATGGATAACTCAATGATTAGTGAGCTGACTTATAATCTACAATCATTGTTTCAATAACATCTGATTTGATAAAATTGACAAATTGAGTGTTCTTAAAGGTATTAGCATACAAATAAATTTTAAGAATAACTGAGAATTTTAGTGAGAAAAAGCCATCCATGCTGAATGCATAGTCATCAGTTTTATGAAATTTGATAACCATCATAAGCAATGAGAAATAAAGGGAATATTCAAAAATAAATGGAATTGGAAAAATACAGAAAATAAATTATTTGGTACTACAGCATACCAAAAACTAAGTTGATAATAGATTAATTACTAAATTTTTAAAAAGCAGATGAGAAATAAAAACTCACTACCTTTTTTTGTTAGACATTTGTTTGAACTGAAATACATTTAAAAGGACTTTCAACAATATCAGTATTTACATTTTCCTGTAATGTGCACCTCCATTTTTAAGACCTTCATCTTTACAATCAAAATAATTTTAGTAAAAATGTGAAAGAAAATGAACTAATCTTCCAGGTAAAAAGAAAGTGTTAATAGAAAGTTTCAATTTATAAATTTAGTTTTCCAAATAATTCCTTGTTGTAGGTTTTTAGAGTGTTACATTACAAAATTATGCTTTCACTTTTTATTCACTCCATGAACAAAGATTTGACAATTTTTAATGAAACATTGTACAGAAATAGTTATTGTAAGTACTAAACTTTTGCAAATAAAAATTAGGACAACTGAAATAACCTTACAAATTCCTTTTGAATTAATGAAAACAATGTGAATCCATTATCATATTTCTTCTAAATGATTCTGAAAATTACAAGCTAGCCTGTCTTAATATTTCTTTCTCACACATATATAAATGGATTTAACGGCTTTATAAGCCAGAGAAAGTGTTTTTGTCACATCAGTCTAGAAATAAGATATCATTACTTTTATCACAATCATTTTGGCCCATCCTGAAATATGTCCTCATACATTCCTTTTTTGACAAATATCAGATATTTTCAGGGAATATCTTACTACGAATATAAACTCAGCATAACAACAGTTATTCTAGTTGTAAAAACAAAACACCTATAATTGTAATGATTGACTGTTCAATTACTTTTATCATATGCTAGAAAAAAAAAATTCATTTTTTTTTTTAAATATCTTACCATTATTACTGACATGTTACTTTCTATTTAGAGTTGTAAACTATTTTTCTCTCAATTTATTTTCTACTTATATCACCAAGGTTCATTCACATGACTTGCTTTTTTCAATTATTGGTTAGATATTCTTCTGAGTGTTACAAATCTAAAAAATCTACAAAGAAACAATATTTCTCTAGTGATCTAATAAGTTACCATAACAAATCTTATATTTGGCCAAATATTTTCATATTCCTTTTAATTTTTATCAACATGAATTACAATTTACAAGAAAGTATTAGTTTTAACAAAGCAAATTATAGTGTAAAATATTATTTAAATTTAACAACTTTTATAAGCTGAAGCACACTTTGTGAGCTAAATGTTCTATTCAAGATAAAGCATGCTATCTTGCTACATTCTGTACAATCAACAGCTTTTTTGTCTTTAGCATACCAAAGGATGGGGGGTCAAGAATATGTTGACTACATTCACTTTGTCTAGCATTCTATTATTTATTAAAATGACACAATTTAGCATTAAATAACATGGAAAAGGCCAATATGCATAAATAATTATAAGTATATTTACATTTTTTTTAATTTATGAAAACATCTTAAAATCTGTCAAAATCCAAAACAAAACTATTAAGCAAATAATTATATTATGAATATTCAAAAATTGTCCAAAGAAAGAATTTGACATTATAGAGATTGTTCACAAGATAAAACTGCTGAAATTTCCAGATTATTTCTGGAACAACTTGGGGCTGGAACTAATATTGGTAGTGAGAGCAGCACCAAGGTCAGAATGAAACAGTAGGTAAATCAACATTTTTTTCCTGTGAGGAAGAAAACAACCCATTTGTCTAACGGACAAGTTAATGTTTTAAGTGAACCTGATGTTGTTGATTACAATGAAATGACCTTAGCAGCTGTGAGTCAACTGATAGATGCAGTTTGCTTACAAAGCATTGCTTAGTTTGGCATAAGGCCACATGCCACTTAGAGTATTTCATGTTCCTCAGTAGTCATCCAATTAAGTACTGATCAGGTTCAATTCTACTTAACTCAGTAGATAAACAGAGATAAAATGCTATCATAAATAAAAGTTGTGATGTGTAGATATATTTAAATTTAATAATATAAACTTAATACTTGAAGACATTCACTTCAACAGAACCAATGATTCTTACAAGAAACCAAGTTCAGAATAGTGAAATTTTGTTCAATTGGAATGCAAGAGATTGAATCAGTTGACCAGCATATTATGCCATTATACAAATATCTAAAATAATATCCTTTATTAATAAACAGTATTTATTTTTCAATCAACTATTTCAAAATTGTAACTCATTCAAAGTTTTGCTAAATAATTTCTCCTTCTGACTAGTAATTAGTTGGGAGGTGATAATGCCACAGATAACAATACATGAATTGCCTTTTGTGCCATAAAGCAAATTTTATACAATCACTTATGAATAAAAACAATAAGGTGGAAAATTAATTGTCCAATGCCTTTGTTATTCAGAAAGATTTATATGTCAAATGATTGCTATAGTGAAAAAAAAAACAAAAAAAAAAAACATATGCTGAAAATATATTTATCTCATATAGCGATATGGTTTGTCAAGTTGTTACAAAACCAGATAAGCCTTACTTTCAAATGGCAATAAAGGATTTGATCCTTTTAAGATTCCTATCCTTTGTATCTCTAAGTAATGTTTGTCTACTTACTATCCATCACAGTTCATGTCCTATCATCAATTTACACAAGCTTCTTGGTTAGACTACTCATTTTCCTTTGCCCATCCTGCTTTCAATATGTACAGTGTCAAACTTTCCAAGCCTTCTTTCCTCATTATATGTGCCAGAAATTTCAAGTGACTCTTTTTGATAAGTATAAATGCCCTTTTTGTTTCCATTTTCCTTAAAATATCCTTATTGCTCACATGCTCTATCCATGTTATTCTCAGCATCCTTCTATATAACATCGGTTGCTGCATGTCTCCTCTTTATCTGTAAGGAAATTATCCAACATTCACTGCTATTGGTATTATATAGCAGTTCAGTATTCTTTACTTTGTCTAATTAAATTTTCCTGTTTCTTAATATTTTGTTTAACTTCTAAAAGGCATCTATCATTCCAATATATCTTTGGATTTCAGTGTCACATTTTCTATGATCTGTTGAAACATTTACCAGATGGTTGAATTTCTGTACTTGCTTGATTTTTACATCTCCTATTCATAGCACCCATCTTGGGCCATTCCTCTTGCTAATGACTACACATTTTGTCTTGTTACAATTGATGGTTAGTCCTTTCTTCCCACTTTTCTTTAATACCTACTGTTTTGTCTTTTTTTCTTTTGTGTCTACCATTAAAACAGTATCATCTGCATATTGTATGCTATGATTGTGCCCACCAACAATAAATCTGGTAGAACTTCTAGTTCTCTTAGGATTGCCTTACTGTAAAGATTAAATAAATCTAGTGAGAAAACATTCGTCTTTACACCACTTTCTATTTTTGAGTACATGCTCAATTCATTTCTATTTATATTGGATTTCTTACTCAGTTTAAAGAATTTATCTAAAACCTGAATTATAATATATATTTCAGAGTTAAATTCTAAAAGCCAACCATATTTTCTTCATTTTATTTAAACAAATATTAAAAAGTATAACCTCAACTGGTCAATCACAAACATGTTGAGCAAGTTACTTAACATAAGAAACTTTGAAAAGAAATTATTTTCTTATCAATTGAGTTTGTAATTATCTGACAACAAAGCAAGAATTTCCAAGTTCTTGGTCAATAACATGTTTTGCTCTAACCATTAATTTATTCTTTTTGCTTCTAACTTGTAATTATGAATAGATTATTTAGAAGTTGTTTAAATAAATTGCTCAAATTTCAATTTATTCAACACTTGAAACTATTCTGAAATCAAGAAAACAAAGCTTAAAAGTTTACAACATAAACTGTTTTTACATTGATGATAACAGTTAATCCTCAACACTGTGCTCTTTAAGCAATCAAGCATTTGTATTAAGGTTTTGATTTGTTTGTATTATATATTCAATGTTCTCTAATTACTAACAGGATAATGATGTAAGCAATGAATAAAACATCAATATCATGTCACTTGATATTAAAAACACTAATTAAAAACATTATAAAAACAAAGATGAGCAAACTCACAAATACGATCATTCTACAAATAGTAAACCTCTTTCTCAAAGCCTCATTGTACAATAGCAGTGAAACTTTTACCTTATCAGAAGTAGGGGGGGCAGCATTTACCAGCAATTACATGAAGGCTAATTAGAAAACTTTAAATAGGCAAAGATTTACAAGCTCTTTACTTCATGAGAGTAATCTTTTTTAGTACTGATTCTTAAGTTTAAGCAAATACCTACATCCTCCCTAATTGTTATCAATACATTATTATTAGTCAGATTGTACTTATCTGGGATTTTTGGTACTTAACACATATCAAATTAGTTGTTTTTAGAAAAAAATATTAAGTACTTCTTAGAAATAAAGCATTGCTTACAAAAAGAAAACGTTCATGTGATTTTACACGAAGTAGCATTTAAATAATTATTTAATAATAGAATTTTAAAAAAAAAAAAAAAAATCAAGAAATTTTAAGATAAAAATTTAGACAATTGACTATTATTGAGTTGAGTGTGATTCATTTACCTCAGATTGAATTGAATCTTCTTAATTGTAAAATTTCTAAACATCGATTTGGTGTGCCGATTAGAGAAGTGTTTAGTTATATTTTTTTCAATATAAGACAAGATTTATTTATTTCTGAATTCAATATGAAAACTAGAATATAAATAAAAATTATCAATGTATTTAAGGGCGCATTAATAAAAATAAAAAAAGACAAGTTCAAAGGTTTGTTGAAACAATCATCCAGCACAAAATGTGTGAATTTTCTACATTTTCATTCACCATCCACAATAAAAAAGGGAGACATTATTTCTTAAAATTTTTATAACATTTCATTCAATGAAGTATAATAAATGTGTAAATCAAGAAATAAAAATTACATTTTGTATTATTTACGATGTTCATTGAAATTTCAAATCATGCTGGAAGACTCCATCGCAATCCATTCTCATTTACATTACACAGCAATGCAATTGTTTACTTTTTTTTTTTTTCAAACTCCTTCTTAAAAAAAAAAACAAAAAAACAAGACATTTTAAATTATTTGCAATATTATTAAATTTATGCAAAATGCCATTTAAACCCATTTCTTGATAATTTTCTTAGCGGGTTTAATAGAGATCGAATGTACATTGTTACAAGTGTACGATAATGACTACACTACACTGCAGCAACGATACTAGGATCAATAAAAATCGTTCCAAAATGATCTGAGAAGAAAATATACAGTTTTATTTACTTTTCTTTTCAAGAGGTGAATTATTTATCTTTATGTAAGAAAAAAAACAGACGCAAATGCAACTATGGTGACTAGTGCCATATTGAAGAATTTTATTCGAGAAACAATATTTTCAGAACATTTTGGTTAGAAAATTTATTATAAAATCTGGACGGAATAGAACTTGAGTAAAAAATCTGTTCAATCTACAAACACTCGTACTTTCAAAGAATCAAAAATAAGCAATTTTTTTCTTGCAATAAGTTTTTTTTTTTTTAAAAAAAAAAAAAAAAAAAAAAAACTTAATAACTCCTAAAACAATTACGGTGCTTTCTTAAAAATGCTAGTTAATTGGGTGAAAATGCCCAAATTGATTTCTATACATTTTTTTTTTTTTTTTTTTAACTGTAGTTAATTTTGAAATGGTATGTAATAAAAAATTTAAAAACAAAAACAGCTCCAAATTGCAGATTCAATTTACTGACTCCTCATTACTAACTTCATAGTGACTAAAACATTTTATCTTCAATTAATTTTTGGTTGCATTTGAAAACACAAGTTATGACTTTTTTTTTTTTTTTTTACAGAGACGGAAATTAGACTTTTCTTTTCGCACTCACATTTTACTTTAAAGAATAATCCAATATATTAACTTAACTACTTTCTTGATATTGTCAGATAAAATCAAATGTAAATAAAAGTAAATAAAATCTAGTTTTTTGAGCATTTATTTTTTAAAGTAAACATTTTCATCCACAACGATTTTTAAACAAATTCAAATTAATCACAACAAAAAAATATCTTGTTTAAGGAAAAATGGCTTTTTTAAGTTTAAGTTTTTAAATTTTGGCCAAAAAAAAAAAAAAAAAAAAAAAAGTTAAAGGAAGGTGTTAAAAAAAAAAATGACTCCGACAACAAATATTAGCTTTCTCCTTACCTGATGCGATCGCTTGTGCCACTGTACCCCCAACGGCTTTCGATTTGGCAAAATCGGAGAACAATTTGCTCCTTGCCTGTCAAGCAACAGCGGGGCACATCCGAAAAACTTATTGGGGGTTTGGGGTTGACAGTAAAATGAAGAAAAAGTTCCACGACTTCTCTGTCCAAAAGAATGCCACTCTGTGCAGCTCCCATAGCAAATTCCTCAACAGACATCAATGGAAATCTGATGAGTTTTAATGCTTTGCCAAGAACCTTCCTTTGGTTAGCTGGAGTCTGTGCTAAATTCTGCCTTGAACACTCTGCCTCAGCCCACCGGCAGATGGCAGAAAATAATTTACATTCTCTTATGCCCAGAGAGTTCCTTTCCAAAACAACACACATTGTGTCAATATCAATATCTGTGAAACCATCGGCAGCAAGGGCTTCTGAGGTGTTCTTATCGATAGTTTCTAAGCACAATGCAGCCAACTGTGGTTCATCAAAGAGACGTGCTTGGGTGAGTAACATAAATGCATTGTCACTGCTGAGATTTCGCTTTAAAAAATCAACACATGCCTTCTCCAGGGCAGGCACAGAATATTTTTTGGCTGCATACAGAGTGGTCATTACAGTCTCGGGGTCAATGAGTACCTCGTCACAATAGAGAAAGCGTAACAATGCAAGAAAAGCTGCCGGTTCGACATCGGGAATTTCAATAACGTTGTCGTTAGATGAAGGTGAGCATTTCATCCAGGTGAAAAGAGCATCGAATACGGCGCTGCCTACGGAGAGCACAAACTTATGGGCAGGGATCAACTGAGAATTAGGAGGCTTGCCCACTTGGAATCGTACATCACTCATGATGTCCGTATTAAACAGATAGGCCAGTCTCTCTTTGACAGTTACCTTTGAGGCCTGCCAATTGTAAGGCCCGCCCCCAATGGCCACACCACCGCTACCCGCAACTGTCGATGTCCTCATTGAGGGTGTGGTCGCTACATTATTGTAGCTGGACCTAACACCGGAGGAAAGGTAATTGTGAGTAGGACTCTCACTGCAAGAAAGAGTTCCGAGGCTGTAGTGATCATAGTACGACGTGGGTGTCCTGAGTCCTATAGGAGCAGCTGCCGATGAAGACGACGACACGGAAAAATTTGACAGGGAAGAGGGTGGTGTGAGGGGTGAGCAAATACTTGAAGGGGAACAGTCCACAGGAGTTTCTGCAAGAAATCCACGATCTCTCTCCTCCGTATGGCTGGTGTGAGTACTGCTAGCGGTGGTGCTATCCGCCGTCGACTGCGGTTCGTTCATTTTCAGAAGATTCGAAGACGAAGGTGAAACAAAAGTATGGGCGGAAGATGGAGTCTTGCTTGAAGAAACGGGAACGACAGCCACTCCATCGTTATTCATGGTGGAAGAAATACTGACACACTGTTGTTGTTGTTGGTGGTGGTGGTGGTGGCGGCTCCCATTACTGCCCCCAGACCCACTTTGGCTCATGTTGGTAGTGCCACAGACATTACCTTCATGGGGAGTCGATGTTGCACTTGAAACAGAAGGAGCAGTACAAGCGGTGGTAGTAGAAGTACATAATCCGCCAGCAATGCTGTTGCTACTATTAGTGGTTGTAGTGGTAGTTGTGGTAGAAATTCTGGTAATATTACTAGTAACAGTAGTTGTAGTGGTAGCGGGACTGCTGCTTGTAGTTGTAGTACTGACAGTAGTAGTAGTAGTAGTACCAGTATTTTGATTGCTGTTTGTAAGTGCTTTACTACTGGAATTTGAGCTATCACGATAATTTTTCGAACTGACGTTATTATTAATAGTGCTATTATTATTATTAGTAGTAGTTGTATTATTAGAATTATTATTGTTATTGTTGTTACAATTGCTGCTGTTATTATTATTATTGTTGTTGTTGCCAGAACTGTTGGATGATGTCGCAGTTTGGCTTGATCGTTGATTTTTTGCTTCTTCTTTACTAATCTTAGTTGCTGACTCCATTATTCATAAAAAAGAAGAGATGTGAGTCACATATTGTTAGAGAGCGACTCTCCCGCCAAAGAGAGTTGTATAAGAATCCAAGAGAAAAATAATACTGTTACACAGTAAAATTGAAGTGCGAATCAGAAGTATTTTTTAGCTTAACAACAAAAAAAATAGAAATTTCAACACAAAAATAATAAATAACCAAGAGATCCCAAAGTTAGTTATTTTTAAAAGAAGACGGCCTCGAAGCGTTTTTTTTTTTTAATTTAAAGAATCTTTTTAAAATTTCTTTGTTAAATAAAGCCTTCAAAGTTATTTTAACTTTTTTGTGTGTTTCTGGTGAGTTTAATGCCTGTTTTGTTCCTGAATACTTGTAATGTTCAAAGATGCATTGTTTGACGATTTTGCTTTTCCTTCTTCTACGGTTTGAGTAGCAGAAAAAGTGATGAGCGAGAGAAGTTAAGATGAATAATAGCGAGGCACTTCATTAGAGACCCCTGCGGCGGTTCGACGAAAAAAGCTCATTGAAGTTTTAAAAATGAGGTTTGAACATAGTTCCAACGAATGAAATGGGGCCAAATTGACAAAGGAAGGTTGACTATTTGCAACTCTTTAACTGCCTTTCATGGTCGCCGTTGCCGCTGACGAACGACCGACTTCGCGTTGCTCACCCAGAGAACTTAAAAGTTTTCAATGGCGATTACGATTCTCTCAACAGCTCCCTCTGAAGACGGCAACAACTGAAAAGGGGAAGTAACTCACAAAATACCCTAAGTTACGTTTCTTCGAGAGACAAATAATAATCTTGAATAATAAAAAATATCAGCAAAAAACTATTGCTTCACAAATCAAAAATGTAAAAAATGCAAAGTGTAGGATTTTCAGCATTTTCCTTTTCTGACGCAGCAGGGGGAAAATGTCACCACTAACAAAAAAATTCTACAACGAAATTTTACTTTCAATTTCATGATAAAAGAAGAAGCAAGTTTCTGAAATATTTTAATAAAAAATAAAAATTCTTAATGAGATAATAAAAATTGCTTTAGGTATTGATTGAGCAATTAGAGTAAATCATTGTTGTCATACTCTATGCACCTTCATAGAATTTTCAATGTATAAATCCAGATGCTGAAATCCTTAATTCACTTAGTTATGGTAAAATAAACAGTTTCTATAACTGTGTGTGTGTATATATATATATATATATATATATATATATATATATATAACAGTAATTTACTTAGTAAAATAAGCAGTTTCTATGCCATTATATATATAAAGTGTAAACTGAGGCGACGACTGTCTGCTTCATGCTTCAACACAATTTTCAGGCCATCCTCTTTTATATTTACATATGCTCTATCTCTGATATTGGGCACTTTTACCCATAAATATAACGTACTTTAAAACTATAATTTTATTTATCTATCTATATATATATATACTTACACATGTGGACGTCGTTCATACAACACCAAATGCTTCTTTTCAATACACCATTCTTGAATTCCCACATACGACATCAACGTAAAAATTGTTCTGCTTCTCACTGTTTCAACCCTCTTCTATCATGCCAATGCCATGGCCAACTGACCAATTAGCATCTTTTGCTTTGTCTTCATTCACACAATCAAATGGCATCCTCCAGTTTGACCACTCAGCACACAAATTGCTATTGGCTGAGCCATGCTAAGCTGTATAAAATCCAACATTACAGAATATACAATTCCAGAATAATCTAAAAAGTGTGTATGAGATGGATTGGAGATTCATGCCATTTTCATGAAACAAAAGACCGCTATTGTGTATTCAGGTAAGGAACTTATTTTCCTTTGCACCAGATACAAGCAACTCTGACTTGCTCACTTCTACATAATTGTTTACCACAATAAATAGATAATATATATAGATAAAATATATAGAAAAACAAATCTATAAATGCTCTATTTCTAATACTAAATACTCTTACCCAAAGGGGTTTTTAATCATTTCACCCCAAGCAACGCAATAAAGCTACTAAGATGGGGGGGTCTTACTGAGTGTTAGAGAATATGAGAAAAACACACTATTAAGGAGAGAGAACAATAAAAGAACAATAAATAAGAAGACAGAAGATAACGATTGACACTACACATAAATTTTTGAAGATTGAAGTTGATGGGAAGCAAGAACCCAAAAGAGAATTCCATAAGCAAGTAAAGCAATAAAAGAAACTGTTAACATAGAACTTATGATTACATCTAACCATTTCAACAGTAAAATGTTGAGACCTTACTGCCAATCTAGTACTGCACTTAAATTCATGAAGTCTAGGTACCATAGAGGAAAGTTCAGTAGAACAATTACGATGAAAGTATTAATAGAAAAAGCACAGGAAGCTACATTACAGTGGTGGAAAAGAGGCTGAAGTCAGGTCAGGACCAATAATATTGCAAATTCTTCTTTGGATTTCATCCAGAATTTCTAAATATATAACAGGAGCACCAGACCAAACATGGCAGCAATATTCAAAACAAGGAGAAATGGTAGACTTACAAATATGTCAGATTCTGACAAGAAAAATTGCCTAGCATGACAGAGGGAACCAACTATTGATTCAATATAATATTTCCCCTTCATGTCAGCTGAAAATATTAGCTTGAAGAGGTGCAAGGAGTCACTCTCCTAGAAGTTAGCATCAGCCATGCTCATAGAAGGTGAAAAAGGTTCTCTCAGATGATTAAAAGAGTACAGTTTCATTTTGGAGGCACTAAAATTAACAAGCCATTCCTTGCCCCAGTTAAAAACAGATTGTAGATATAGATTTTACTACATAACAAGTAGTTCACATTTCTCACAGTCTAATGGAGAGGCAATATCAGCAGTGAAAATAGCCAAGTAACAAAAAACAGATGTATTCGGAGTACACTAATTTCTGCTACAAACAAGAACCCGACAGAACTTTTAATGGGAAGAAAATAAAAACTATATTACTATACCATTAGAAGAAATTAGAACCAAAATGGCCTAATTTAAATCAAGTAATAGAAAGAGACAGATTCTATAAGGAAATATACTACACTATGCTTACATCCACTACCTGGCCCCCATAAACATTCAACAAATGTCACTGAATGTCAATAGGAATATTTTTCCTGCACAAAGGAATTCAATGATACACTTTGTTGTGGAGTACCGGAGCACCCCCACAAGATGGACTGGTCTAAAAAGATAAATAGTACACTCTCTTACTGAGAGAGTGGAAGTTGAACAGAACTGAGATGGTATTAGACTTGAGTGGTGGAACATTTTTTCTGTTTGCTTGTCCTTGTTTTGTGAGGGAAATACCCCTTCGCTATGGTGGAGGTGCCCCAGGATAAAGGGCCATTTGCCATCCAAGCATCAACATCAGCATGGGTGGCGAGAAGACCCCAAAAAGATCCAGACTGTTTCAAGGGGTATAGCTCCTTCATTTCAGGCTATGAACTTTTTGCCAGTGCCTTCAGTAATGGAGGTAAGCACAAGAACTATCTTTCTGTTGACAGCTGACATCAAGATTCATTGTTGTCAGCAGAGAGATGATGGGAGAGACCCTAAAGGCCTTAAAAATTGGGGCCAAAGTGTTGGCCTGCAGGTCAAATGCCCTGTGGGACATTCTGCTGGGACCAGAGGAGGCTGCGAAGGCATTATCTGGCAGCATACTCACCAGCAAGTCTCTCAGACTGCAAATCGAATACATGGGCACCCGGAAGACTTGGATTACCTTGCATGGGGTGCCCATGTACATCACTGAGGGACATTTGGGGGCCTTCTTCTTAGATTATGGCCCTGTGGATAAGGTATCCTCCATCAAAAGCAAGGCGGGCATTGCCACCAGTGATTACGAAATCATGGTGATATTGACACGGCCAAAGTTCAATGAAATCCACAAAACCATCACCTGTGGCAGCAAAAACATCTTTGTGGTTGTGGAATGCTGGTCTTGTGGTACTGCCAGTCATCTGGCAAAGTTGTGTCTGGGCAGAAACCTGATACCACAGCCTCAACTAACAACAGAGCAGCCCAAGGCAGAAGAACCAAAGAAGGTCCCCAGGGGTTCTGATAAGTGAACTGAGGTAGTGAGGAGGAGAGTAAAGGTGGCAACTCCACCTTGCCAGCAGGCTGTCCCTGAAAAAGCACTACCAAGCAGCAACAGCCAAAACTGAAGCAGCAGCAGCAGCAAAAACTGAAGCAGCAGCAGCTGAAGCCACAGCGACAGCCTCACCAAGAGTAACAGCAACAACAATAGCCGCAGCAGCAGCAGGCGCCAGAAAAACTGCAGCAACAAAAGCAGTTGGAGTGGCCCAAGCAGCAGCAGTGGCCTGAGCAGCAACTAGAGCAGGAGCCCCTTAAACAACATCAGCATCAGCAGACAGAGCAGCAGCAGCAGTAGGAAGAGTTAC